TGCGTGTTTTTTTGGCCAAGGAAATGCCTATATGCACGCCAGACTAAGTCTTTTGTCTGGATGTGCTGGGCTCAATGCTGACTAAAACTTTCGCCGTTAGACATTATTTTATGGGGAGAGGATCTAGAATGCTATAATTCTTCCTCTAAAATTATACTTTCAATGGAATGAAAAACATGAAATTATTTTCATTATAGTTACGATCAGTACTATCACTGCGTTTTGACGTTGAGTTCTGGGACACCCTATATATATATATGTGTGTTTGTATTTTTTTGTCTAGACTAGGTCTTTTGTCTGTGTATGCTAACCTAAAACTGACGTTGTTAGGCATTACTTCCTAAGGGGGGAAGATCTAGAATGCCATAATTCTCGCTCTAAAATTTTAATTTTAATCGTTATTTCTTCTTTCTATGTGATAAATTTCTAGGCACTTTTTTTCTTTTCAGAATATTTGTAACTTCGAAACGACTTGAAAAAAAATTCCTGACGAGCGTTTGGGTGCACGATGTCTACTAGAAGGCCCTTCGAGCGTCTGCCCTATCACGCCGTTCCTCAGCACTATAAACTCGAAATCACTCCCAACTTCAAGGATTACACATTCTCGGGAAAGGTCACGATCGACTTGAAGGTAATAAAAATCACATAAAATAAAAATCATATACTCGATGAATGCTATGGCATCCACGTCAACTTAGTGACTATGGAAAAAGGTGCAGTTTCGACTGAAAAGTAATCTTGCACGTTAACACGTTCGGGCTCAATAACAATTTAGAAGTCAGATTATCATATTTCAATCGTTAGGTACTGGATGAATGCTATAGCATCCTCGTTGAATATTGCCCTTGTATTTTCCGCAATGCGCTTGCACAAGGTTATTAGTGACTACGGCAAAAGACAAGATAATACGAAAATACAATTATCATATTTTAATCGTTTTATACTAGATGAATGCTATAGCATCCAAGTCAAGTATTGCGCTTGTATTTTCCACAATTTGTTCGCCCAAAGTAATTAGTGACTACGTGAAAAGATAAGATAATACGAAAATATTATTATCATATTTAATCGTTATATACTAGATGAATGCTATAGCATCCACGTCAAGTATTACGCTTGTATTTTCCGCAATGTGTTTGCCCAAAATAATTAGTGACTACAGGAAAAACTAAGACAACGAATCAGTTAGAGTTTTTACCTTGACATGTATAATGATTACCAAAACGTAACGTAAGTTCCAAATATTTGCAATATGTATATATCGTTTTTATTATAATATAATATTTTTTTGTGAAAATCGTTTTCTACTCGCCGAAACCTTTTAAACGATACCCAACAAGCTATGAAAAATACCATCAAAAAATTTGAAGTAAAACTTCTTTAGACTCCTCTGCAACAAATTCGTAACTTAATGAATTCATTTTATTCTTTATCACTTGGATTTATAAAATCCTTTCATGTTCTCCTTGAGGAAAACTTCTTTAGACTCCTCTGCTACAAATTCGTAAAAATGTACATTTAAATTTTTGTCTTTTGGATGCTATAGCATTCATGTGATTGTTTTAAGTATCAATTATTTCCTTTTTCAGATAATAGAATGTACGCACGAAATCAAATTCAACAGTCTCGACTTGGAACTGAAAACGGTGACTCTTATCGACAAAGATGAAGAGGAAAGAGTCCCTAATATTTGCATCGACAGGGACAATGAATTGGTCAGTCTGTACTTTCCAGGGCAAAAGGTTCGATGTGGTGACACCAAGCTCATCATCGACTTTGCCGGAGTCCTCAAGGAGAACATGAAGGGATTTTATAAATCCAAGTAATAAAAAATAATTTATTAACTAATTATCTATCACAGACTAGGTCTTTTGTCTGGGTATGTCGGACTCAATACCGTCTGGTACCTACAAAAACCGTCGTTAGGCATTACTTCGTGGGGGGAGGATCTAGAATGTTAAAATTCTTACCTTGATTTTTTACTTGGCTTTTAATTGTGCGAAGTCTCATTTGCCCTTTCTCTTTCCATAGAAAAAAGGTCAATTAGAAACTTTAAACTTCATGTAGGCTACGACATAGTAATCGTCCAAATATGGAAAATATTTTTTTTATTTTTTTACGTTTCAACGGTTTTTGAACATTTTGGCATACCTTAGAAAAATTTATGTGTGGGTGCAAAAGCACGAATCGATTACGAATTTGTAGCAGATTAGTCTAAAGAAGTTTTACTTCAAATTTATTGATGGTTACTTTTATGGCATGTTGGGTATCGTTTGAAAGGTCTCGACGAGTAGAATACGATTTTCACAAAAAAATGATTATATTATAATAAAAATTATTAAAAATATATACACAAATACATAATGCTAAAATATTTGATTTTTAAAACTTATTGATTTTTTCTTAATAATTAAGGCCTAAACATTTTTATGTGATTTGTGTCAACAAACTGTACATTTTTACGAATTTGTAGCAGAGGAGTTTAAAGAAGTTTTACTTCAAAATTTATTGATGGTTACTTTTATGGCATGTTGGGTATCGTTTGAAAGGTCTCGACGAGTAGAATACGATTTTCACAAAAACATGATTATATTATAATAAAAACGTTATATTTAATTGCAAAAGATATTAAAATGTTAAAATTTCTTGATTTTTTGTATTGATTGAGGTGCATAACTTTTTAATCGTCCAAAAATTGAAAATGAGAATTTTTGCAAATCTTTACGTTTCAATAGTTTCTGAACATTTTGGCATGCCTTAGAAAAAATGTGAGAAAGTGTGGGATTAACCGATTTGAGTTATTCATAAAATTATTTACGATTTTTTTTTTCAATTCCCAAATAAAAATATTTTTTTTGAATATCGAAAATAATTAAGACATTAATTTTAATGCTATATAAATAAATGTAATTTTTGATTAAAAATTGCAAAAATTACCCCGACTAATCACAGTCTAAGTGACAACCTGGTACAAATATATTCGCAAGTGCGTTTAGACTGTTCCTGTATAAGCACTTTTTCAATTTTATATGAATGTATTTTGGGTTAAAATACAGACTAAAAAAATACCCATTCTAAGCACAGTCTAAGTGACAACCTGGTACAAATATGTTCGCAAGTGCGTTTAGACTTTTCCAATTTTATGTAAATTATGAAAATGCAATTTTGAGCTAAATTTTTGAAAATTACCCATACTAAGCATAGTCTAAGTGATAACCTGGTACAAATTTAACCTGGTTTAGACTGTATCTGTACAGAAGCACTTTTACAATTTTATGTAAATAATAGAAATGTAATTTTGGGTTAAATTCAAAAAAATTGCCCATCTACGCACAGTCTAAGTGACAACCTGGTACAAATATATTTGCAAGCGCGTTTAGACTGTTTCTACATCGGAGTACTTTTCCAGTTATATATGAATATAAAAAATGTAATTTGGGGCTAAAAATTCAAATAATTACACATACTAAGCACAGTCTAAGTGACAACCTGGTACAAATATATTTGCAAGCGCGTTTAGACTGTTTCTACATCGGAGTACTTTTCCAGTTATATATGAATATAAGAAATGTAATTTGGGGCTAAAAATTCAAATAATTACACATACTAAGCACAGTCTAAGTGACAACCTGGTACAAATATATTTGCAAGCGCGTTTAGACTGTTTCTACATCGGAGTACTTTTCCAGTTATATATGAATATAAAAAATGTAATTTGGGGCTAAAAATTCAAATAATTACACATACTAAGCACAGTCTAAGTGACAACCTGGTACAAATATATTTGCAAGCGCGTTTAGACTGTTTCTACATCGGAGTACTTTTCCAGTTATATATGAATATAAGAAATGTAATTTGGGGCTAAAAATTCAAATAATTACACATACTAAGCACAGT